ACGCTGACTTTGAGTTCCTCCTAGGTAGTCGCTTTGTCGATTTGGATTATGCTGACGATATCGTCTTGCTAGGTGACGATCCACACGTCGTCCAACTTGCATTAAACCACTTGGCGATTGAAGCATCAAAGTATCGTATGTACTTTTCGCCATCTAAATGCAAGGCTCTCTTCCAAGACTGGCAGGTGCCTCTGCCTGCACTCACGCTTGCTGGTGAGACACTAGAGGTTGCGAAGAGCTTTGTCTAATTGGGAAGTTGCATCACTGCTGGCGGGGCTGTTAGAGACTAGATTTCTATGGGCATCTCGAGAGCACGCCTCGCTTTTTCTAGGCTGAGGCATTTGTGGCGTCGCCACGACATTCGTCTCTCCATCAAAGGGCAGGTCTATTGTGCAATTGTTCGTGCTGTACTGTTGTACGGATGCGAGACCTCGCCCATTCGTAAAGATGACTTGCGCAGATTATCATTCTTCGAGCACCGCTGGCTGTCGTCCATTGCCCGTGTGTGTTGACAGCACCACGTAAGCAGTGGAAGTTAGACAGCTTGTCTTGGGACTGGGAATCCACTCGCTCGAAGAGCTCCTCCCACTGCATCAACTGTGGTGGTTGGGACACGTATTGCGCATGCCTGTCCAGCGTTACATGCGTAGTGCGTTGTTTGCGGTTGCTGGACAAGGCTGTAAGAGGCGGTCTGGTGGAAAGCCTACAATATGGCGAAGCCGCATGAAAAAGCTGACGAAAGAGTTGGCCTCGGCCGATCGTTATCGACTACCTGGTTGGGTCCAAGAGATGCGGATACTTGCTGGTTGGAAACCTTGGAAGCCAGGGTCCAAGATCGACCTCAATGGCGGACGTGTGCATCGGTGTGTTGCGGTGTTCCTTCTTCCTCCCTCAAAAAAAGAACAAACTGGAAAAAATTTCAAAAACGGTGAGTGGCAAAATAGATAAAAAGAAGTTTTGTTGTTGCTCATTTCTTATTATTCATACTGTTTTCCTATTCAGCCATGTTTCCGATGGCACAGTATCTGTACCACAGATTGGGTTGTATATATATATATATATATATATATATATATATATATATATATATATATATATATATATATATATATCGCGCGGATGTAAGAGGTAAATTTCCTGAGACGTGTGGTCAGTGTTAATGACAATTTATCTAAATTTCGCCTTGAAAATTAGCACACAATTTTTTGTTACACTTTCAACAGATTGCTTCTCATCAGCCACACAATGTGCATCGATCTCAACATTGGGATCCATCTTAGTCGTAAGCGATTTGGTCTTGAGTGAATTCGGGTGAAATTTGAATGAACGACTATCCATGATGGAGATAGGGTGCAAAACGTGTCCTACCAGAGGCGTATGGTCGACCATAAAAACGGTAGACTTGAATTCCGTAAACGATGGGAAGACCGATCCACTTGCGAGTAAAGCGACAAAAGGGGCCTGCACAACCGAAATACTGGTTGGAAGGTGACCATCTTGGGTTACAGAGCGAAGCACTGCTGCGGGGTATAACGCCGAAATACGACTGCGGCAATTTTGTTACAAGGCGAGTAGGCACTGCTTTGTTACAGCAAACGTCGCTTACCGTCATGGTGGATGCAGTACACCGACTTGATGGTCCCTTCCTACGGTAGTTGTACCTGCAAAACCCATAATTCCGCGAGGTCGATAACACTCAATTCCCTGTCTAACGGCCTGTGAACAAGCAGTGCACAATCACAACTGGCAGTACATTGGTATATAACGGGTCAAATAGATAACGCTTGACATGTCACGTAGGATGGCGGTAATGAAGAGAGAAAAATCAACTAACGAACGTACCAGTAAAATGGAGTTAAATGGTGATTTATCAGAGGTATTTGCATGATAACTGGTATACGTCCATTTGGTTGTAACTAATCGCTCGCCATAACTTTACATCTGCGGCGCCACGCGGGAAATTCGAAAACAATTTTATAGATGAAATCCCCTTTATAATTCCAAACAAGAACATAAGAAGACCAAGGTTGTGGGATGATGACCTACTAGTGCTCCGGCAGTTTCGGTGTGTCCGGATAGCAAGTAAGTCAGTCGAATGAACCGGACCTGTGGTGCACAAACGTTATGGTGTGGATGTGAGTAAAAGGTGACAAAATGGGCTTGCGCAACTTGCCACTGAACTTTGGGCTGACGGGTAGCCCCCTTGGGTAAAAGAGTTGTTTTGAGCGGCGCTCCACTGAAAGCGCTAACACAGAAATACGACTGCGGCAATTTGGTTACAAGTTGAGTAGGTAGTGCTTTGTAACAACAGGCGTCACTTACTGTTAGGCTAGTATTGAGCTGATGTAAGTAGAAAGTGATAAAGACAGAATTTATCCCTAAAGGACATCCAAGTTGGTGGTCAGTGGGTAAGAGCATTCGTGTCATCTGAGTGTGTGCAGCAAAATAATCACCCGGCAATTGGATGATAGTGGAATGTATTTATTGAATGAGCAGATCTTTCGGCAGCATTTCGCGGTTTACAGTAGAATACGCTGTTATATTCAAGAAAACACGCAGGAGTTGCTGTGTCTGTTGTCAAGTGATGACAGTATAGAACGTACGAGGCGGGCCACTGCATCTACAGTAGATCTCGAACTACGATAAGTGTTTATAAGGGGGTCATTCGAGTGGGTTCGGGACAGCATTATTTCAAGAATGATTCTTTCTGGAGGCTTCTAGACAACATAAGAGCAAGTGACAGGTCAACATTTGTTGGACATTTGATACCGGTGTAATGCTGCTATTCCCAACAATAGACTGGATACGGGTTTGGCGGAGACGGCGTAGCTCCTCCTTGATACGACTTAGTGAGACCTCAGTGAGATGCTGTATTTTTCTTCAAAAGCTCTCCTGCTGGCATATGGATAACCGAAATTATTGTCCCTTCTCGTAATAAAAACGGGTACCAGTCACAACCTGGTTCACTGCCTGGCGAAGCTTTCGTTTCGAACGCCAAACGTTGGCCTCTAACTACACCAGGGATTAGTTTGTTTGGTTTCCTTTTCACGAAATTACCATCGTGTGTTTTCCCAATGTTGGGCATATCGGACAAAACATCTTTGCGGGTGTTGAGGAAGCTAGTCAAAGCTGCCGGCGAACTATGATGAGCTATTTCGTCACGTGACCTTGTACAGCCTAGGGTGAAACACACTAAACGGTCGTGATATGTACCGTAACCCCATCAACAAGTTCGGTCTGCATGTGTGACTAGTGCGCTTCTTCTCGGGTGGCAATGGCGCTTGCACAGGGGCTGCACAATTTCGCAGTTTGCAAGCTGCGTAGTTAGCTAATTTCCCGTCCCATAAGATACCGTACAGACCGCTATCTCATTAGCCCGCTCAACATTGGGTGCAGTACCGTAATGCACGTAGTATGACGGTTACTTACGCTTGTGGACTTAAACACAGGCGGCCACCTCCCAATCCGCATTCTACTCTTAATTTGCGCAGGACCCTTTTGTTGCTTTACTAGCAAGAATGTCGAACATGTTAGCACTAAAAGTCCCCATCAATCGCAGTCAATGAGAACGTATACACTTTTCGAGGTCCTCCTAACCCTTGACCTGCAAAACTTGCAAGCGCGATGCAGTGGTACCTTAAGTTTGATCACACTGAACATACGCGTGTGGTCAACACAGTGTTTGTCGGTCAGGATATGGCGCGCGATGAATGACGCAGGCGTCTCAAAAGGTTGACTGCTTGCGTTCCTTGGCTGCGCACGTTGGGTGGTGGACAAGGCTAGGTTCGAAAAGTGACTCCTGACAAATGCTGGGATATGCTCCGCGACTCTCACCCGAAACTGGCGCTCTGGTAGGCCAATGTAAGTAGCCTTGCAATTACATGTAAATTTGCAAACGATGCGTTAATGGCTGGAAAGGGGTAGCTGCGGTTTAACCGAAGGTGCGGGAACGCGTATCGTTGTGGATACCAGTACGGGTTGCGCCGCGGGATACACTCGCGCAACCGCGGATTTAAAACGCCGTTGAAATATTTGGCCTACATCATCTCAAACGGTAGCTTCAGTGTAACTTTAAGCTTTGGCACGATGAGCACCTTCTCTTTCACCCTCTTCGTACCGAAGTGAATGATGAAAGACTTTGGATACCCGTTTTCTTCTCGGGTGTTAGTGAGGAATCGCACCTCTACATCTAGCGTGTCTGGCGTGCCTGCGTCATCCATCGCCCGCCATCTCCTGACCGACAAACACAGTGTTTCCCCCACGCGTATGTTCAGTGTGATCTACTCATCAAACAAAACTCATGTGCTGCGATACACTGAGGCGGTCACAATCAAACAGCTTGACCCTAGTCTGTGTGTGCAGGACGAGTTCGTCACACTGGCTCTACCCTGGTAGTAAGCCAATAGACAGCTTATGAACTGACAAAGACGCGTGTGCGCGTGTATGTGGGTGTAAGAGTGTTGGTGAATTTGCTATCTCAACTTTCCTAACTCTTCATGATGCTCTTAATTTTCCAGTGTTCTGTTGAGAATATGCAGAGAAACTTGTCCGGAATTAAACCGTGCGGTGCTTTGGAGTTTACTGAAAATTTCGTCGGGAAAGAGTTGCTTCAATTACGTAAGGGTTATTATATATACCGTCATTGGCTGATTTGGGCTAACTCAATTCCAAGGACACTGTGCGCGTAGTGCGGCGGAAAGATAGCGGATGCAATTCAAATGTGTTAAATACTATGTTCAATTGGTTTGCAACTACCAACGAGATCCTTATCGAGCAATTCAATCACACTATGAATGCAATCATTTGGGAAAAGGTGTAGAATCAACAGCCATAAACAGGATGGGATTTGATTTCCTTATGAACAAAGTTGAGTATCCTTACGGAGTAACAAATAAATAAATACATATTTTATTCTCTTGAAGAGCGTTTCGTCAATACTATGGATGCAAATGGCTGAGGAAAGCGTTTTGGACTGACAATGAAAACGAACTGCCACTCACATAAGATTCCATTGTGAAGGAGCACAGACAGTGGAGTGAAGGAAGAACGGGGGAGTTCGGATCTACGCGGCAAATAGCGCTAAGAAGGCAAGACAAGGCCCGATGAAGTTGGAATTCATCTTGGCTCTTCAACTTTGATAGTAGCATCTCTTTTGCCTGTAATTCAAAACAAAACGAAACACGATAACGCCGATGTTGGCCGAAGCATGATACCTAAATAGTGTCGAACGGAGTGAGAGTTTAAAACCGGAGAAAGTTGTTGGTTCAGATGTAGTCAGTAGCAGTACGTTAACAGGTAAAATAAAACCACACGGCTGCGATAGTAATAAAACCAGGAGTATGCAAGAAACTGATTAGAAGAAAAGGACAGCAAAAATGCCTTTGAGCGCCCAAGTTTTGTTTCGCCTGTTTGGACTGAAATCAATGAGCACATTTCGGACCAGGATCCATTGTGAGGTAAAACGCTGATCGCTGCCATCCGCTCCGTGTAACCATGAGATTGCGTGATGACGCAAAACGCAAAGAATGTGAGCTAAAATCTTGGCTACTCGGAGAAGAAAAACTAGCTATTAATCCGCCTACACAAAGACCTCAAGCAACAAGGAAGAACAAAAGCGAAGTATCGTCACGCGAAACACACAATAAAAGCAGGAAAGCCCCAAGAGAGGTACACATCACGGAATGCAGCTTATTCACTCATCGACATGTACAAAGTTTAAGGTAAACAAGGTATATGTATAGGGTGTTTTATTAATCATGACCGAAGCTTGGAGTGGCTAAACTAAGGTGCTGACGTAACCCGGTACGCCGCAGTGCTAACTGTCCAATGGCGTAAATTGGTTTTCCGGTAGGAGTAAGTTGGGGCACAGAGGCGCGACATGTGTGTCTACGACCGCAGGGCACACCGAACCGTTCGGCTGCGAGAAGTGAACATAAATCAATACCATAGCCGCAGTCGACCTGTCATGCGTGGATTGCAGGGCAAGACCAACGGAATGCAGGCCGTTCGGCTGTGAGAACTGAACGTTAGCCAGACATCACAGCAGCACTGAACGTGTCATGCTTCGATTGATCGGTAGTCGGCTTTCACACAGGTGAAAAAGCCAGCGAAAGGGTTCCCTACGAAGTGGTTAGTGGGGCGCTGTGCCAGCAAATGAGAAAAACAGCCTAGCCGTATGTGATGACCGGTCGATGGGCGTCGTATCGCTATCGCCACAAAAGCTGTTATCCCCTCATGACTGGCTTCCAACAAACCCGCAAGCTTTTATTAGGCTGCTTTCGCTGCTAAAGGAAATCATACAGCCAGGAACACATGGCAAGGTTACAATGTTGTTCACTTTACCGTTTCGATCGCGTGTGTCAGCTGAAAATTCACCCCTCATGGGTGCATAAAAATGAAATCTTGACGACCCGACAATGTTCTTAGGTTTCAGACCACCCCGACGCAATGGTGGCACCATAGGACAGCCCACCAATTTAATCATGAATGCAACTAATGCATTCACAGTCAGACAATTATTAACGGTACAAATTCATCAGGCCTTCGATGGTGGTTCTTGTGTATAATGGAGAATATACATGTATTCAATTATTTATGTATATTTACATGAAATGTGTGAAATGACTGTAAATATCAAGGAATTAGATGTTCGAAGTGCCCTCCATCGTCTTGGCTGCAGTGGAGCATTCGCCGAATGGTATTGGTGAGCACTGCCTGCAATGTCTCCAACGAAATCTACCTACATTTGTTCACAATATTCTCTTTCAGTACATCCAGGTTCCTGGATTTCGTTCAATAAACTCTCCGCTTCAAGTATCCCCAAAGGAAAAATTCATGGGATTCAGATCTGGTGATCGGTCCTCCGCGACCGGTCCAATGTCCACCGAACGTCTCGTTCAGATGGACACGAACCGATTGCGCCGAAAGTGCAGATGCGCCATTCTGCTGCAACCAAACGTTAATCATTAACCCCTCCGACTGTAGCCGCGGAAGGACGCTGCTCTGCAACATTTCCATGTACGAGGATGCTAAGAAATGTCAGACATTAGAACGGTAAAACAATGCACCGGACACATTGCTGGAAAAGAAAAAGGTCCAATGATTTTTCGACCAGTCAACCCAGCCCACGCAATGAGCCTCGTGCCATGTTGCATATGTGAAGCGCTAGACAGCCGTGGGTTGGTTGTCGCCCAAACATGTTGCGTATCTTCGCTATGCAGAGGGAACACCGCCTCATCAGTAAACAAAATGGAATGCACGTTCAGACAGTTTAAAAACAAACGGGCGAATTCCACGCGCTTCTGTGAATTGCATGCATTCAACGCTTGCATTTGCAGTACACTGTACCACCGGAATTTTTCCTTCAATATCTGATGCACAGCATACGGCGTGGTCTCGCAATGTTGTGCGAGTTGCCGAATGCTGAGATGATGGTTACTACACACCTCTTGCGCAACCGCGCAAGGTGATACTTCATCCGTGACAATGCGAAGCTGTCCGATTTGTCTGATGTTGCAAAGGCTGCCAATTTCTGCACCATGACGCACATACCGCTCGTTGATGGGCCGCGTAACGCCGTGCATACTATTACAGCACCTTGCGGTTTCCGCCGCATTGGACCCGCACTCACTATACACCTGCACAACGACCACGCGCCGATGGACCAGCAACTTAAGTGACTGCGGTTACTGATACATAGAGGACACGGGTGTAAGCTCCTGCTCCATTGTTAACACAGCGACCCACTAACCACTTTGTAGGGAACCATTTCGCTGGCTTTTTCACCTGCGTGAAAGCCGACTACCGATCAATCGAAGCATGACACGTTCAGTGCGGCTGTGGTGTCTGGCTAACGTACAGTTCCCACAGCCGAACGGCCTGCATTCCGTTGGTCTTGCCCTGCGGTCAAGGCATGACACATTCATTGCGGCCGTGGTATCTGGCTAACGTTCAGTTCTCACAGCCGAACGGCCTGTCTTCCGTTGGTATTGCCCTGCGGACAAGGCATGATAGATTCAATGTGGCTGTGGTATTGGCTAATATTCACTTCTCACAGCCGAACGGCTCGGGGTGCTCTGCGATCGTAGACACATGTCGAGCCTCTGTGCCCCACCTCACTCCTGCCGGCAAACCAATTTGCGCCATTGCACAGTTAGCAATTCAGCGTACCGGGGTGCGTCAGTACCTTAGTGCAGCCGCTCCAAGATTCGGACATGAATAAGAAAAACACCCTATATATATATATATATCATTCTAAGTGGCACTGGATGTCGACGGTTGCGGTTATATTGTTTCATAATAAAACCATACGGCTTCTAGCCGGCGTGTGGCCGAAAGGACAAGGCGCCTGCATTGAAGCCTAGAGATCGCGGGTTCGAGCCTACCTAGGGGACCGGGCAACCCTCCTTAGCCCCCGCGCAACTGGTGGTGGTTTCGTGGCAGAAAAGAGATGACACGGCATAACGGCGCAGTTCTGATGGGCCCCGACCATACCATGATAGAAGCACCGTTACTCGTCTGATCGCTGACGTTAAGCGGTGCTGGACCAGGTTAGTAATTGCAAGGGAGACCGCTTAGGAAAACTGGGTGTTGCGGTCGTTTTCCATAACGATGAGGCTGGACCTTAACGTTTGAGTACCCCAACGATCCATTGAGCATTTCTGGGAGGTGTTCTTTCTATCTTCAGATCCACTAATACCAGAGTAGTCAATGCTTAGAGGCCCGACAAAACCAGTCTCCTGGCAATCAATGTTGAAGGTTGGATTGAGGGTGAATCCTTACTCCATAAAACGTACATTGTAGTCCAATGCCAAAACTCCGTTGCCTTGCGTTAAGGTCTTTGAAACAGGCGCTTTGGTTGGGAACCCTGCCTAGGCCTCAGTAACCACAGTATCGTATTCATGCATTACAAAGACTCTTCTTAAACAAACTCTTGAAGTTCTCGCTGCCGCAGAGGATAGTCAAGGCGGACCAATCTGTTGCAACGAGCAGGGTGGATAGGGGTTTGGATGCTACTGCTCAAACCTTCCCGTCTTCTTGTTCCTTCTGTTTTCAACCTCCCAATTCTTGACCCACTCTGATTTGCTTTAATAGTCGCTTATCTTCTAGTTTCAACTCACACACAATCGCAGGGTACCCTCCAGTACAGTCAACAAGTCCATGTTCAACCAATCGGAGAACGTCCGTTCATCCGTTTCATTTTGGAGTCTTCGATCCGCGCTAAGACTGGCATGTTTCAATATGCGCGATTTGTTAGAATGACCCACAGGCAGCACTTGCATGAACGGTAGAGATCCTATCGATCGATAGTTGCTGCGTATCGGAAACCCGCCTGCAAGAGCCCAGTTGTGTGTTTACCTTGCGATCCCCCACATGCGACACCGGCCGCATATTCTCATTGCGCCTGTCTGGAGATGACTCAGCTTCAAGTGCCGGTCAAGCTGATGTCAGTATTGTTTTGAGTTCCTAGGCTGAAGCTGGCCAGATAGACTGGATCCCAGTCATTAGCCAGATGTGCGCCCTTAGATTGGCTGCGTACAAAACTGTCGCTCAATTTGGAGCACGAGTGTGGACTACACACTTAGTGCGCGTCGAGCTGCAGGTGCGTTTCGGTGGAAGTCCGCAACGTCGCTGTGAGCGCATATACACCAGCCAACTGGTGAAGCCAGGTGTTCTGAATGCGTATCAAAGTACGCTGGCATCCGGGTTAAGTAAGCGCCGACTGAATAAAGTTGAAGGTCAATGGTCGTATATTCGCCAGACATTACTAACAGCAAGCATGTATACATGTGGCAAATGAAATTGCCAATCTTGACGTTGGGTCGCCACCCAATATGTGGAACTTGGATGCCCGCCTGCGTATTCCAGCGGAAAGAAAATAAAATGAGACTCGCAAAAACCTCAGGGTGAAACTGCGTTAGCCTGAAGAGAGACCGCAAATACTGATGATCTCATCGTGCATCCGGAATAGTGATAGCCGCTGCTCTAGGTAACCACCGTAAGTTATTCCGTCTGATACGAAGAACGAGCAGCAGGAGACCAGGTGTTAACGAGAACATACGCGACGGGAGTGGACAGCCGAGCCACAGATTGTCTTAGTGCTTAGAGAGTTGAGCCGAACACTCTGAACAGTAGATTAACCAACTTGAGTTATCACCTTTCTGGGACACTGATTGTCCTTCTCCTTGGACAAGCTTCTTTGATCTGCACTTGCTCGCAGAAGTCGAACGGGAGACCAGACTGTTGCAATTAATCAAGTCCGGGGGGGGGGCAGATAGGCTTCCCTAAAGCTTTTTAAAATTCGGGGACCTGCTCGTGCAAAATTTTCTAGTGAAGCTGTGGGAGCAGGAGACTGGAACCGCTCGGTCATAATCATCAAACGAGACACCAGTTCGGAATGTAATAGTCATAATCAGTCTGATCTCAAATATCTGTTACTTGATTCTGTTGTCCACCAAAGAGTGAGTTGCCCCCTTAAATCCAGATGGGCGAAAAACAGGCAGGGACCCACACCTGCATTGATCCATGGTTGTGATCAACTAGAATTCGTTCAGGAATCCAAATTCCTTGGCAGCTATATAAGCGCCTGTGGGAATAAAGATGAAGCCACAAGCCGTAGATCAAAAGGTCGAGGTGCCTTTATTAATCCCCGACACCAGTAGCGCCGGCGTGACATCACGCTCGTCTTGAATTGCAGATGTTACAACACAGCCGTCCGTTCAAAGCTTTGTACGGTTGCGAAACTTGGTCCATGAAGTAGGCCGACTTAAATAGGCTTGTTACGTTCGATCATCGCTGCCTTCACGGTTTAGCTCATGTCTGGTGGGAGCACCGCGTGTTCGGCGTCACGTATTTGGCGCAGGATGAGCGAGTGAATCGCTCAGCAACACCATATTACGCACTAAGCTCCGGTGACTGGGCCAAACGTTGCACGTGTAAGTCCACCGACTCCCGCGACATGTATTGTTTGCGCGCCAGGGGTGCGGCTGGAAGAGAAGGAGGGAAGGCCAAGCGATGACTTGGTCAAGAGGAATGAATACCCTCACTTCGAAACTAGCGTCAGTTTGTGCATCCTGACTGTCTGGCTGGGGTCCGAAGGACGATGAACACTTTTGGTTGGATATACCTGCTGATATAAAGAAGAGCCAGCATCAATGACTTTTGTGTTGCAAAATGCTTTGTCTATACTCTCCCTTAAGATCCCCCTACCTATTATGATCCCATACCAAGTGCATAAGATGACAGTTAACATTATGCTACGCTTTTTGAGCTTTTCTGTTATCTGTTATTTTTGTATCCTGTAATTCTGTACTGCAGCACATCAGCTGTGTTTCTCACCCTCAGCTTACGTGCATTAATGATGATTTTGGTGCAATTCTGATGCCTGTATATGGCTTACACTAAATATTAGATTTGATATCAACGTCACATCATTGTCACCGTTGGCGCAAACGTAATGCAGTATAAGTGACGTTGATTCTTTGTGAAATTCGTCAGTCGAAGCATGCGTACAATTAACAAACCACACGCTTTTGGCTACATTTGTGGAAAACGACTAGCGAATTCCATGTAACCTGCGATGTTCATACAGAGCACCCTGATCTATAAATGTTGGCTTTGTGATATGGGTGGATTTGTAAACACCTGAAAGCTGTCGCTAAGCATCGCCGATGGATGCCGGATGTGTGCAAGCCACAGCAGCGTATTCGGGCTCCATAAAATGGCGTTTGATAGATCTGATTACCAATGGCAAACTAATTAAAAAACCATACAGGAGGGTGAAGCCGAACAATGCGTAATATCCAGGAAAATGTTGGTAGTCGAATACTGGTGCGAATAACAAGCAAAGACCAGCAGGATATCACTGACCGTATCTGAGCGAACATTCTCAAGTTTCGATTGGCCGATGAGTGAGGTGAGCAACTCTTCCGGGTCTTGAAGGAAAGACGTAACAAGGCCCGAGATGAACTGATTGGATAAGGGGCAACGGAAAAGTGCACAGATTTTGGTTTTACTAAAATGAAATCATCCATATGTGACAGCTTCCATGAAGACAACATTTGAACAGAAGATGAATAAATAAAATAATCCAACTATCAGCAAAAATAGTATAAGCATATACAATACATGGTAAGAAATTCTCGCACTTATTTTACCACACAATATAAACCGTCGAAGTTTGGATACAAAACTTATGATTTATAAGTGGGCGCATTGCAAGATGTTGATGTGATGAGTCTGTAACAAGTCTGCATATCTTAATTGTGCATCGCTTAGGTGTGATTAGTCGGCAAACACAGACGCATCGATTACTGTTCCTTTGGCCCTAGTTGATGGAAGCAAGTATCTCATTCCTCGAAAACCGGTCATACATAAGAACATTACAATTATTCGAATCAGCCGTAAAAACAGCACAAACAGAACGCATGATGATTAGGCGTATAAAATTAGCAACATAAACCAAAGTATAATAATCAAGACCAAAGTAACCTGACAGCCACAAATTCCTGCGTACAGAAAACAGGCGTATCTACCTAAATTCAATCCACTACAGTTAAACGACTAAAAGCAAGGTACCGGAGCGCAGTGGAATTAGCTGTCACAAATTACGCAGCCAGGATAACAATAAGCCGTAATTGGCAACGCTATACTGAATGCAAAAGTTATGGGGTTTCTGTTACGCAACTACGGATAAATCGGTAAACAACGGGAGGGGCTGAACTGCCAGAGGCAATCAGACTGGACCTTACCGTGGTGCGATGGTTTGTGCGCCTCAGTGATCCATTGAGCTATACTAGGTGGTGCATTTTCGCACCTTCAAAGCCACTCATACCAGATTGGTCAATGGTTAGAGGCCAGGCAAACTCAGCCCCCTGGTCCTTCAGGTTGATGGTTGGAATGAGGGTGGCCCCTTATTCCTTAAAACGGACTCATTGTAGCCCAACGCCAAACCCGTTGCCTTGCGGACAGGTTTTGAACCAAAGGCTTTGGTTGAGAACCCTAATCGTTCTCCTGTTTAAGCCTGGGCAACCTGACAGTATCCTGCCCAAGCAATACAACGAATCTCACTTCAAACAAATTGCTGATGCTCTGGCCACCACAGAGAACAATCAACGGCGCCCTATCTGCTGCATCGGGCAGGGTGGATAGGGGTTTGGATCCTACTGCTCAAGCCTTCCCATCTTCTTATTCCCCTTCTTGCGCTTTTTCACCCTTATTCTCCCGTTCCAGTTTCACTATTATCCCCCCTATTTTCAACCCCCGATTCTTGGCCCTCCCCCATCTTGCTTCAATAGACGCTTGTCTTTTAGTTTCAACTCACATGTGAACGCATAGCGTCATTCCTGCCCTGTCAACAGGCCCACGTCCAAGCAAGCGGCCCATTCCAGTTCATCGGCTTCCATTTGGAGCCCTCGATCCTCCTTCAGATCGGCATGCCTCAATGTTCGCACATTGCTTCAGGTCGGTCAACAGGCAGCACTTGCCCGAACATTAGAGACCTCTCGATTGATATCTGCTGCTTATCGGAGACCGGCCTGCAAGACTCGAGCTCTGTACTCACCCCACGATCCCCTTCAGGTGACACTAGCAGCACTTTCTCACTATGCCTATCCGGTGACGATGCAGCTTCGAGCACCGGCCAAGCTGGTGTTTGCATTGCCCTGAGTCCCAGGGCTGAAGCTGCTCTGGTTGACTGGATCCCAATCAGTAGCCGGATGTGTGCGGTCCGATTGGCTGGTTCGTTCAAAGCTTCGAAGTCGAGCGGGACTAACAGGTGTCTATTCATTATCGCTGCCTATGCACCCACAAACTCTAGCGATGATTCGGTAAAAGACGGCTTCTTTCGCCACTTGAACGAGCTCCTTCGCCACAGAAAAAGCTCGGACACTGTAATGCTGGCCGGGGATCTGAACGCTCAAGTTGGAAAATTATCCACTGATGAACAGCATCTGGGCGGCTAATATGATGTAGGCTGCCGTAATGATAACGGTGAGCGGTTACTTCATTTGTGTGAGGATGCTCGCGTATTTCTCGCGAGCACTACTTTCCGATACAGCACCCGCCGGAGGGTGACTTGGCGCCCACCAGCCTCGAACAAGCTATGGACGCAAATCGATCACAGTGCGATAAGTTACCGATGGATAGGCTGCGTCCAGAACTGTCGCTCGATTTGGAGCAAGGGTGGGGACACCGACCATGCACTTGTCTGTGCTGACCTGCGGATGCGCTTTGGAGGACGCCCACGACGACGTTGTGAGCGCATTGACACCAGCCAACTGGCGAAGCCAGCTGTTCTGAATGCGTATCAAACTACGCTGTCATGCGAGTTGGATAAACGCTCACTGGATGCAATTGAAGCTCACTGGTCTCATATTCACCAGACCTTACTAGCAGCAGGAAAATCTTCATGTGGTATGTCTAATCACCAACATGGACATTGGGTCACTTCACAGTCTCTAGAACTTATCGATGCTCGCCGGCATATTCCGGCTGGAAGCGAACACAATGAAACTCGTAAAGAGCTCCGGGCAAAACTCCGTGCTAGCATGAAGAGAGACCGCGAATCCTGGTGGTCTCATCGTGCATCAGATATGGAAACGGCCGCTGCCCTTGGTAACCATCGTAAGTTATTCCGTCTGATACGGGAAACGGGCAGCAGGAGACCTGATGTTAGTGAAACAATACATGACGAGAGTGGACAGCCTATCCACAACTTATCAAAACGCTTAGAGCGTTTAGCTGAGCACTTTAAAAGGCAATTTAATCGGTCGGAATGGTTAGATTTTTCGCCGGCCACTGATCGCCCGCTCCCCGGGCTGTCCCTTTGGAACCACCCTCTCGCTCAGAAGTCGAACGTGAGATCGAACTCTTGAAGTTAAATAAAGCCGCGGGACCAGATGATCTTCCTCCACCCCTTTTCAAATTCGGGGGACCTGCTCTGGTGAATGATTTACACGAGTTACTAGTTAAACTGTGGGAGCAGGAAACTGTCCCAACCGATTGGAGTCACTCCGTCATAGTCCCAATTTTTAAAGGAGGCTCACGATCGAAATACGGTAGTCATAGAAAAATCAGTCTGATCTCCATCGCCTCCAAATTGCTTGCCTCTGTCATCCTTCACAGACTGACTGGCACTCGAGAAAGCCAGATTCGTGAAGAGCAAGCTGGATTTCATCTAGGTCGTGGCTGCATTGACCACATCTTCACCTTGCGTCAGTCGTTGGAGCACCGTCACATATATTGGCAGTCCACCATTGTCGTGTTCCTCGATATCAAAGGTGCATTCGATTCGGTGGACAGATGTGCACTTTGGGACTGTCTACTCAGGAAAGGTGTACCTGAGAAATATGTGAATATTATCCGAGCATTATATGCGTGTAGCTCGGGCAGGGTGAGGGCTTACGGCAAGTTGCCGCCGCCCTTTAATATCTCCAGCGGCGTGAGACAAGGATGCCCGCTGTCACCTTTCCTCTTCAACTTCGCTGTTGACGAAGTCATGGAAATCGCATTCACAGGACACGACTTTGAAGGTGTGGATCTGCTCCCAGGAGAACGACTTCTTGACTTGGAGTATGCTGATGATATTGCCCTAATCTGTGACAGCTCACAAACGTGTCTAGCGGGGCGCTTTCACTAATCTTCGCCACTTATGGCGCCGGCGCGACATCACTCTTGCCCTGAAGGGTAGAGTGTACAATGCAGCGGGTCCTTCGACCCTACTGTACGGTTGTGAAACCTGGCCGCTTAAAGCAGCGGACCTGAAGAGGCTAGTTACGTTCGACCACCGGTGCCTTCGCAATTTAGCTCACGTCTGGTGGGAACACCGCGTGAGCAACGAGCGTGTTCGACGCCTTGTTTACGGCACAGGGAAAGGAAATGAACCGCTCAGCACCGTCATTTCACGCACCAGGCTCCGATGGCTCGGCCACGTGTTACGCATGCCAGCCCACCGACTCCCGCGACGTGCGTTGTTTGCGCGCCGGGGGTGTGGATCAAGAAGAGGAGGGGTGGCCAAGCGATGACTTGGTCCAGAGGAATGAAGGCCCTCACTTCTGAGCTGGCCTCGGTTGGAGCGTCTCGGCTCCCTGGTTGGGGTCCGAAAGACGATGAACACGTCTGGTTGGACACACTTGCTGATATGGCTAGGAGCCGACCTCAGTGGCGTTCGTGCTGTGAGTTTCTTTGTCCCACCCCATCCCTCTTAGCCTCCCCCTCCAACCACGATCTCACTATTTAGCCTTATATAATTTTGCATGGTAATTTTTTTGATGCACAGTAGCCGGCTGGTAGCTTACCGGAACGATGCCCATCCGTTACCGGTAGCTCATCCGGCTTGCACCAGTTGCATTTTTTTCTCCCTTTTCTGTTTATTGCGGCACAGTAGCTGAGGTGTTTCCCACCTCTAGCTAACGTGTATGATGATGATGCCAGATGAGACGTTCCAATGAGTATGAAGAACACGGCTCTGTGTGGTGTTGAACAGTCGTAAATGGACGATCGTGTAGGTGCAGGCTAGGGCGCATCTGCGCTTTCTGTTCGATCTCATTAACAATATGGTTCGCTTGAACGGCAAGAACACAAAATTATCATTTGTCCCAGTGATTAGCAAGGGCATTTACATTTTGGGAGACCTGTTGTGGATTTGGATGAATTTGCCAGGGCATCCACTTCAGTCTTCCACATTTCGTAGTTGAAAATCCGTCCGACTGCAGAACAGAGTTTGCATTAGAGCTCGCTCGTATGTGGATGGGGCGAAACTGGGAAAAAACGGTAACACCCAAACCAAGTCGTCTTACAGCAAACGGTGTACTGTAGAGTCCCTCCTTCTACGCGTCACATAATCATTATATCTCAAAACCGTGGAATACAGATATTTTGGTGCGAATCGAATGCAGTACGGCCAATAGCAGCGTAAGATGTTCGCCGCTAGTGAAGACTAGAATACCATCCATATACCGTGTGCACGA